AAACAAACGTTTGTGAAAAATGTTGCATCTAGGGTTGGAACTTTTTTTACATTTAGTTACTTTATTTTACTACAGCTGTAACTGAAGCATAGATAATATTATCTTCATTTTGAATTTTCTACATGAAAGTTTTTAAAATAGTATATTTTTCTCTACACACAACTTTTGTCTCTCTGTCTGTCAACCGGTCATTTATATTTATCTCTGTCGCGTGCATTAAAAATTAAAATACAGACCACGCAGATGAAGTGTCCAGGATGGTATATTAGATATCAACTAAAAAAATACCGTATGATCGAGAAAAAAAAGGCGTCAGCGATGGCTATGGAATGAAGATCGCTGTCATTTTATATGTAAATTTATATGGGAAATGTCATCGATGTTCATTTCCCAGCCAACTGGACGCCGTTTTTTTTCGATCATACGGTACATGTTATATGGTACAATCAGAAATTTTACAATCAAGCAAACATTGACTGACGGTTAAGAATTGTAATGTAATTTCCCATAGGATTTTTATTTATCACAATGCACACTGGATAATAAAACTTTTTAAGTTAGTAACAATTAGTTATTTAATAGTATAGTAATATATCTTGTTCCGTTTAATAAGTTTATTCTTGAATATACAGAAATAATAAAAGGCCATTCCTGAGACATTTCATAAGGTTAGTCTTTATGGTATAGCTACCTAAAGATATTTTTCACTATCTACAGGTCAAAAAATATCCAATAAATCAATTCTGCCATTAATAATGGTAGGTATTGAATTCTCAAATGAGTTATAGCTGTAATTAGAATTTCTCTTTATAATGAAGTCGTTTAAGTTGATTCACAATTAGAAATCATATATCGATATTAATTTCTTGATATATACTTTGTTGATTTATATGTCGTTTTGCACTTTTTTGTGTTTTGGATTGTTTGTATTTAGCATATTTTTTGTATTCGAACATGATTTAACAACAAATTGGAGTTACACGTTGATTTCACTCGAGTAGTTTCAACTGTGAAATACAAATAACCCAGATAACAACAATTATTTGTTACAGGAATATATTGATTGAAATGGCCTTGAAGTCGATATACGCCGGTGTGCGTATTATTACATAGTAAATTTTCCAGCCAGACGTATTTTTTTTTCATTTGAAATGAAATTGCTTATTTTTCCCTAGTTCGTTCATCTATTTTAAGCTTGGTACCGTTTTAAGTACATGATCATGAAATGATTGGATATCTTCGTACCAAAAATAGACCAGTTAATTATTGATGGTCTCGTCTAATTTTGGCAAATTATTTATTTTTTAAATTTTTTTTGACTTCAAACCCTCACAAAAATCGGTTTTGATGCAATAAAAAATTTAGAAATTGAAAAAAAAAAATTAAAAATTAGAAACTGTTGTGATAAAATATCACAACACAAATCATTTAAACCAAAAACTCGTAATACAAAATGAATGACAGTGTCAGGAATTAAATAATAAATAATTTTTTAAGTAAATAAATAAATGCAGCCTGAATCCCCAGCAGGAGATTTAAATTCCAGTTTAGTTATTCCAAATTTTAAAAATCTTCCTAGATTACGTTTCTGAAAGTTTAATTGGTATCCAAATAATACAGGGTGTATAAAAAGTAAATCAGAAGATACAAAGATCTCTAAACAGAAAAGTTAGAAAAAAATGTACTATCTAATATACAGGGCGTCACATTTAAAAAAATGGAGTATATACCAATAACTATGACATTTGACAGGGTATGGCATTTTTGATTATACGCAATAAAACTTGACTGACGATCTATTTCCGAAAAAAAAGTTTTGAACAAAATATGTCTTACTCATGTACTTATCAAAAATTAATAGTATTGCGAAAAAATTGCTCGCTGAAGATTAAATAATAAAATATTAACCAATTTTAAAGATTATAATAGTATTCTAAATGGTGAAAATCATTTGTCCTGTTCTACAAAACACATTTGTATCAACTGCATAAGAATTTTCTCTTGGAGTCAAAGCGTTTACCATACATGATGTCAAAATTAACAAACCGTTAATTTTTACTTTCTGGAATTATTTCATCATTCATTAATTTTTAAGTTGATTAAATCGGCAATTAGGTTTATTTTATATCAAAGAATTTTCTAACTTGCAACGGTTTGAGGGATTTCACCATATTTTCGCAAAGGTTGACCTCAACTTATTTACTATAAAGTACCGTATGATGAAAAAAAAACGGCGTCCAGTTGGCTGGGAAATGACGATCGATGATTTACATATAAAATGACAGCGATTTTCATTTCATCGCCGTTTTTTTTTTTTGTAAATTTAATCTACTGTGTATTTTGTCATATTATGAAGATTTTATCTTTTTTAACTAAATAGAGAGATAGATTGAATAATTTAAATAAGTATAGTTATTTTTAAGTGAATATTAACATATAAAAGCTCTTATTTCACATTATTTATAAGCTTGATTTATACAAAGTTATTAAAGTTAATAAATTAAAATAATGAGGATTTTCCCATCTTGTTAAACACGTTTCTGTTTAATGCAACCTATACCTGATGGACACAAAAGCAAACATGTAGCTTTGCTAATTCAAACAATCTGAGACTGTTCATTGTTTTCCGATTTACGTAAGTGATGTATTATTTTCTTTTCAGAAAATTACTGGTGAAGTAAGGTAGTCTTAAATTTTCGGGTATAAATTATACCTAAATTGGTAATTTTAAGTATTCCTGTATTATTTAATCTTGAACTTGTTATTAATGTGGTTCAGAAAATTTATAAAATATATTTCCTATAATCGGTTTCATCATATTGAGTTGATAAGATGTGGTACTGTATTCATATCATTTGTAAAATTGATTTCTAACGTTAGTAATTGATTGATTAGTAAACATTGAACAAAAATTAACACGATCATATGAAGAAGCTCGTTGTTTTGATACATTTTTTAGGCTCGTTTACACAAACATAGTTTAAACCCGAGTTCATATTATGAACTATGAAAAACTGTGAACCCTGCAATATAATTGTGGTATATTTCTCTTGTAGTATGAATAATAAGATAATTATTGGTTAAAAGCCCAGTTTAAGCCTCCAAAAAGCCTTACTCAATTTCAATCGTCAAATACCTAATTTTTGAACTAAGTTCAACAATTTATTAAAATTTTAAACTTGGTTTAAATCTGAATTCTCCGTGAACCGTGTATGAACAACTGGGCCCTAATGTACTGTACATACGATTACAGGAGATTAGTTATCTATATATTATCAATATAATTTTAGTTTTTTGAAGAAGTTTGATGACCTCAAACATAATATTATATCAAATAAGAAGAACTTGAATCAGAGGATATAATATGAATGAATGAATGAATATCTGGAGTATAAATGAATATTTTTCATTCAAAATCAAATCAGAAGCTCGGTATTTTGGATTGAAGGCATCGACTATACCAGAAATGAGGAATATACGGGATGATTTAAGAAAACATTACCCAGTTACATAGTAATTGATGGAGGAAAGTCTTTTTCACTAAGATAATCTTGTTAATAATTATGAAACAGTATCAATAAGCTTCCCAGAAATGTTTTCGTCATGTTTTCTTACTCTAAGGGATTAAAATAATAATAGGTTTCAAGAACGCTTTTGGGACACATCCTTCTATAAAGGGATTTCCTTTTATTTGAATCAGAGAAGGTTCAGGTAGAATTCTAGTTGAAGTGGTAGGTTGTAATGAAGAAATATTAATTCTACCTGGAGCTACCTAAATCTTGAACTGTTTAGAACCAAAAAAAGATAGGGGTTTTTCAAATATTTTCAGGGGTTTGGTTTGGCCCAGTTAGACTATAAGTGACTATGAAGTATTTAATGTGTAAATATGAAGTAACACAATTCTGTTTATCATTAAAATGCGAAAAATTGCATTTGATATTATGCTATTGCACAATAGTTATATCAAAAGTCATTGGATTATACAAAATTTATTTTTTAAAATCCTTCATCCTCCTGTTATTATTTACATTTTTTCCAAATAATCTGGTTTCATTCATACTTTCATTATGTATAATTCTTCTTTTAATGTTTTTCAAAATAATATATCCAGAAAAATAATGGAAATTCTGCTGTTTTCTTCTTTATTACTAATATTGCTCTCTGTGAATGGACGGTAACAGGTAAACGTTTCTTCTTTTTATTGACGCACACCGTCGTCAATGTCGCTGGCAATTATGAATGAATTAACCTAGAATTACATACAAAGAAGCTACATACCACGTGACAGGTCGTTTTTAAAACAGCGAGATCCTGAGAACGAGAATTAATTATTGAATATATTTCGATACATGCTTGTAAAGTTGAGACAGATTACCATAATAATGATTCATGTCGTCTCAATTTACAGTCGATATCACTGTTTCCTTCACATTTTCAACAGGCGCACACTGCATAAAATAAATACGAGACCGGTGTTTTGTTCACTGGGGATAACATTTTTCATTTTTGCACTGGTGTAATTTTTTACGGATATTGCATTTGTAACGGGACTGGTTGAAAATAGCTCTTTATTTTCTAAACATTCTGTTATTGTTTGTTTAGAGGAATGGAACTTTTTGGAATCCTCATTTTATTTTCAGGACAGTAGAAAGGAAGCGAATATTTTTATGATGAAGGATTGGAAGATTTTATCGAAACATCGCGTGCGTTTGGCTTTTTCCTTAAATTATTGGTGGAAGAAGATGTAGACGGTAAAAAAGCAATTATAAATACAGAGGAAAACAGGAAATGAGGTCCTAATTGTGTCCACGAAGCCGATACACTGTTGCTTTGATAAAATCGATAGGATATACGAGGGGGCAGGCTTGGCGCCAAAAACCACGTTCAAAAACAGAGAGGAACAAGTGGCTTTTGCGTCTTACGGCACGTCAAAGTATCGCAAGTCACACGGTCCATGTTTTCACACATATCGTGCATGTTTCGCAACGGATACTGCTTACCGTTAAAACTATACGATGTGTAACACAGCCTTTGAGTGAATTTTCCGATAAAAGCGAGATACGTTATTTATTTGGTCGTTTCGAATTAATAACCGAGAACGGGTTTGGATTTTGTTAGCGATGGTTGTTTTGTACTTGGTTTGCGGTCCGAGACGAAAACGGCGAACGGTTCGTGTACTTTTCGACGTGTACATTACATAATATTTGGTTTGTGCCGACGAGGATCGGCATTAATACGAAAAAAACTTAAAATTATTGGTCGCCGCTACGCGATGTGCCACATCATGTTGACGACTGGTCCGTCGAGCCTCGTTCGGGGCGAAGTTGGCCGCGATGCGCCGCGTGCCTGGCCGTTGCGTCGCCGCCAACTTCACGTCGGACGTAATTGATTGCGCACGTTATCGTGCGTACGTCGCAGGCGTTATCTAACGGCCTGCTGGATCACTGCGGGGATCGGGCGTTACAGGAATCTTGCCGTCGCGTCACAATGTTTAAATCTTTAAATATTATAATATAACGGAGATCTTAGATTGGACTATATTGTTTTTTTTTTTCAATAAGTGGCCGTTCTTTGCCTGAAACACTGCGACCTGTAAGACCTGTTGTGCTTGTCCCCTTTCTATATCTGTACCCATTCTCCTATCTCTGTGCCCTGCACTAACTTATGCAGGTCCTTGATAGGATGGGATCATAGTTCCTCCGGTTCTAGCCTAGCTTTCCCAAATAAAAAGTGTCGCTTGCGATCCAGAGCCTCGCAGTGACATATGCTCCGCTGTATTAGGATCTTTATCGTAGAGTCTGCAGCAAAGACTTTTTTTAGTACAGGTTGAGCTTGTTCAGGTATCACTTGACAGTCATGTGTCCTGTCGAGAGGCCTGTTGTGACCCGCACTTTATTCCTGCTAAGCAGTGGCAGTTCTTTTGCGGTTTTTGCTTAATACGTAACCCCTGTTTCTCCAGTGGACATTCTGCGTTTCCCTGATCCAGAGCTTTACTGCACGACTACGGAGCCCTTACATTTAGGTATTTCAGTACTATATATTATATCTTGGCTCTGGACCAAGATAGGATGCCGATCCTTGCCTAGCTGGCTCATCGGCTTATTCGTTGCCTTGAATACCGCTGATACCGTTTAATGGTATCATAGTAAATAGTTATTTTTTACTTTTCAAGTTACATCCATTAGGTCCCTTCAGGATACTTCAGATTCACAGTCCTATCCACATTAATCTTCATTATCTTCCATCTTCCCCGAATGTCAATGGTTCTAACTCTAGAATTTCACGTTATACATTGTTTCTCTCAAAGTATGTAAGGGCATTGAGAAACTTATTATTTTTACATACCCACTTACCATTTTAGCACCTTGTGGGAAGGCACAGATTTAATCCTTTTGTATTGAAATTACTCAATTTATAGTGTGGCAAAATTTACACATTCAATGTGGAACCGACTTTTTGTTGTATTTTTAGAATCTTGCGCAAAATCTAAATGTTACGGCTATGGTTTTATATCGCTACGCCCTTGGTGCGAATTGAAATTAATTCGTGACTTAACATTTTGGGAACCTCTGAAAATAGCACTTATACAGGGTGAGTCTTAAATAAGTACATAATATATTCAGGACTGATAGATCTCGATAAAAGAAACATACTATGTCTTTACCGTTTTTTAAATAACTCCAAAAATAACCCAGTTATTCAAGTTTGAAAAAGAAAAAAATATATTTGTTTTAAAAAAAATGAGAGCCACCGGATAGTTTCTGTATTTGCTTCCATTTTAGTGCCGTAACCGTGGTAAGAGATTAAGAAATTATATACGTTGGAACCTTTGCGGTGAACAGACAGTTCTAAAGTTTTTAAATATACAGGAAAACTTAAAAGAAAATACACGATTTCCAACATCTTTTTGCGAAAAAAAATGTAAGCCCTGTTTCTGGGGTTGAAATATACCATTTCTGTGTGTACCTCATTATAGTCTGAGAACCACTTAAAAATACACTTGATTTTCCTAAACTTTTAAGATATTCTCAACAAATGATTGAAACAATATTAATTACATTTTAAATTAACAAAAGAAATCATTAGGTTATTCTGTTAGGTAGATAACAACATAAGCGCAGTTTTATTTTTAACATTTTTATTATTTGAGATCTACGCTCTGCAGCACTACCTCTTTACAGGTCACGAGCCGCCACTGTACACCATAAGAAATAACTGTACCTTTTTGGTAATCTATCTGCGTAAAACTTTAAGTTTTTAGCACTTAAGTTAATCAATTATTTCTATACTTTCATTATTAATTAAACTGCATTATGATGATATCATACAATTTTCTAATGCCAACATAGCTTTCACAAGTAAACGTGTAAAAAATGGTGCAAAACAAATTAATGTTTTGCTACCAAATCTAAAGAAGGAACTTTTAATTTAAAAATAGAAATCCTTTGTTTGACTTGTTTTATTAATTTCTAAATTACATTGACATATTTCGTTTTTCAGGAAAAAAGATTCATACGGCAACGAAGTGTCTCGACTTGCTAGACCATTACCAGTTGAATACTTGCTGGTAGATGTTCCAGCTTCAACACCAGTGACTCCTCAATATACTTTCAATCCGGATCCAGAAAAGCATCCCTTCCCGGTTGAAAACCGATTTATAGATGGACATATTCAGGTAAGATCAGCAAGATTTTTATTAGGGTCAGGTGTTGTAAAAATGAGACACGCAATATATTTAGGTAAAAAATGAGACAGACATTCAATAAAACTACTCGAAACTACTGACTGTTTTCTTGTTATATCCCCATAATGTAATATTTGTATGATAAATCATGGAAAAACTGAAATTGCAAATCCATTGTCTCGTTTTGAGGTTCAAAACTTTTGAAACGGACTTTTTCACTACATATTTTTGTTCATTTTTAATTTAATTTAATCTTTTTTTTACACTTACAGTTTATAAATGCGTTGCGACGATGTAATTTTATTGTATTCTGATTTAAATTATATGCAGGTGTTCTTTATTAATTTAGATTTTTTTTTATTTGACTATTTAATTCTACTATTAAAAAAATCTGCATATGGCCACTCCAGCATTTAATATAAATTATATTTTTTTTATCTTATATTTTATTTGTCTTATCTTTAACCCAGCATGTCTTACTTTAATTTTATGGGTTAAATATTAGACATACTGAACCTTTTAGGGATATGGTATATATAAAAGTATACCTTTTGGTATACTTTTACTTTTGCAATAATTCTCTTAAGCGGCGGCTACACGACAGCGACTTACCTGCACGGTATAGTTTGCGCTAACTAGAAGGAACACTGTGCGGTGTCCACACGATGCAAGTAAGAGCGTACATTCATCATTATTTTTATTCTGAATTTGTGGTTCCGTTCGTGGAAATGTCAAGTGACGAATTATTAATTATTTTTTGATTTATTAAAAAACAGCAAAATAAACGGTATAGATCGAAGTGGAGTAAAAACTGACTTAAATAGAAAACCATTTTCTTGTACGCATCATTTTTTCTGTTTCTATCGGAATAATCTTTCAATTTTATCTTCCATAGACATGGCAACGATCAATATATTTCAATAAAACTCGTCATAAACTCCTTATTGGAATAAGTACGAATATCAGACATTTTCTAAGAGTTGATAACTAATAACACAAAACCCACAAAAGTCACAAAACTGTACCTTGAACTCGCTGATATCGTCTACACGTATGATATCACCGCACAAACTGGTTTGCGCAAACTAAAATCTTTAGCAGCGCGACGTTTACGCAGGCCGCGCTTGTTGGTTTGTGCATGCTACCGTTTTACCGTCTACACACAGGGAGTTCCCGATACAAACCGGTTTGCGCAGGTAAGCTTGTGGTTAATCTTGTACGTGTAGCCTGCCCTTTACAACCAAATGGGTTTTATAGAAGAAATACTTCTGTATTTAAATGGTTGTAACTAAGAAAAAATCCAAAAGTTTTGAAAAATGTCTCAATTTTACACCACTTGATCCTATATTAACCTTTCATGTAAACAGTAAAATTTAGCTTACCACGACAAGAGTCGTTGGTAATGGGTTGATTTCAAATATTATATTTGTAAAGTTTCATCTCTCCAAAAAAGTCCTATGGGTATTTCGCCACTGTAAGAAAATCTACAAAATAAAATAGAGTTATTTTTTGTAAACACTGCTACGTTAATCCAACGGAGCCTAATTGTCAGCAGTGGTTTACTAATAAACAAATTTGCCTAACGAACAAAAAATGCTTAACGAAAGCAAAAAAAACACAAAGAACAAATAAAAAATCTATTTAAATGTCTAAATACAACTATTCAAGAACACTTTAGTTTTTTTCAATAGATACGTCTACAAAAACCGTTGACGTTCTGTTAAAATGACATTATATCAAGTTAAACTTTAAAAATAATAATTACTACCTGATAACAATTACTTAATAAGGTAAAACGAAAAATCTTCAAACTTTCTGTATGATTATTTTTCATTGTTTTTAATTTTTACGTATGTTGTGTTTATTTATGTTATGTCCTTTAAAATCAAAAAAGCGATTGCCATACATTACTAACATCTAGAGATGCATGAGGAGGAATACATTTATTTTTCATTAGATTGTATAAAAAGCCTCTTTTATTTTTCTTTTAGAGGCTATCGCTTCTTTCATTATAATTTTTGCGTATCTGTACTCCGTGTCCCATGAACATTATTTTAATTTACACAGTAGTGTTTACAAAAAATAACTATTTTATTTTGTAGATTTTCTTACAGCGGTGAAATATCCATAGTACTTTTTTGGAGAGATTATATTTGTGTTATACATAGAGAATATTGATACTCAGTTGCGTATCCTTTTTTTGTACCATTAGGATTTCAATGCCTTGACAACATACCTCCAACAATTCAACTTCGACGAATTCTACGAAGCGATCGACGACTTCCATTTACTGATCTACATTGCCACCATGGAAATGCTGCCTATGCGAGAATATTTAGGCCCTCTGTTGGACGCTTTGCGCAACAAAGATAGGAACGCAGCTACTGAGTGGTCGAGGTCTGAACAATGGGCAACATTGGAACAATTGATAGCAGCTAGTTCACCGCCACCTTCGAGGTATGAAACATTTTTGAAGAAATCTTATTTTGCGTTTAGACGGCTGAAAATTGGGTATAGTTTTGTAAAATCAAAAAAGGAACACCTTTTTCAAATTAAGTTTTTCAAAAGTCGGAAAGGAAATCTATTTTTAGACATCTTTTACTTTAAATGTCATATTTGACAGATCTTGTGTCATTTTTAATCAATACCAGAGCAGAGACTACTACCCAAGTCAAATGTCACCTAAGTCAATAAATAAAAAAAAATATATGATGCGGACTAAAATTAGTTAATCACTAGGTTAGGTTATGTTGCTGGGATTTGGGATCATGTTTGATCCCTCACTCGGAGGCCTTGGGCCCATTGCGATACCTCTGTATTGTTGTACCGAACCTTCCCCTCATTCTTTCTTTGCGTTAAAGCACTTCCAGCTCTTTACAAAATTCCCGATGTCGCTGATGTTGGCTTCTGCTGCTTCCTCTAGTCCCTCCAAAAAACCTTGCCCTAAAGTTTTAATGCGTCGGTATTCCAGTGCCTGGACAGTAGCACAGCAGGTGTTCTATGGTTTCTTCTTTCTCTGCAGTAGTCGTCGTTGAAAATCTTCCATCTCACGAGGTTTACCCCCGTGGGGCAGTTTCCAGTGATGACACCTACAATTTTGCGTACTAGGTTCTTTTTGTGCTCTAGTAGTTGTTTTGTCTTTTTGCTATCTACCACTGGCCACAGTCTTCGAGCTGTAGCGCAGTCCTCACGATGTTGCCACGTCTCTTGCTGCTTGGCCTTGATGATAGTTCCTATAGCTTCCTTCAGTGTGTTAATCGTCACATGTGGTGGGTCAGCTGCCACGGCCTCTCCCCTAGCCCCCTCTTTGGCGAGTCTGTTAGCTTCTTGATTGCCCACCACATAGCTGTGGCCTGGCACCCAGCCTTTACGCAGCCAGGACCTCTCGTACCTCTCGGAAGTCCATCACAGTTTTCGATCTCACTGATTGCATGATGATGCTTTTTAAAGCGCCCAAATTGTCAGAGTATATCACGATATCCCCTATTGGTCTATCAGCGATTTTCTCTCGTATACAACTGGCCACTTCCTTTATGGCGTAAACCTCTGCTTGTAGAACATTACCGATAGCCTTAAAGATCGTCGGTAGATTAAAGATCCGATAGCCGTAAAGATCGTCGGATACCTGTGTCTCCTGAAGTTACGGAAGCATCTGTGTAGACTGCTATCTCTTGAGTGTTCATTACTTTGTTGCTTTCCCATTCTTCTCTTGTCGGGATGCGAATCCTTATTTTTCCTCTAAAATCATGTTTGGTGATCATATAGTCGGTTTTCTGGTCTAGCAGATGTGGACTTTTGTTCGCCATGATTTTCCCTATCACTGGCAATATCCTCGAGTGACGTAGTTGGTCTGGTTCCACAGATCGTATTCCCCTAGCGACCAGATCCTTGACGAGCCACTCGATTGATGGCAAGTCCAGGTAGCTAACCACTAAGTAAAGTGACTTTCGTACTATCACTAAAACAATCTAAAAATCTGTTTTGTTTTTGATACCTACCATATTATGTTTTATTTTTCTTTCCAGACCCGGTAGTGTTTCATCTGGAAACATTAATTCCTCTGCCGGAGCATCAACTGGGCCGAAGTGGACCTGCCCATTTTGCACGTTCATCAACGAGTCCGACGCTCACAGTTGCGAGATGTGTAACTTGCCTCGGTCGCGGTCTTAGGACGGGCATCCCGAAACCGATGAGCCTCTTGATGTGGAATAGATTTTCCTTTCTAACGGTCCCCAAGTAGCTCGAAAAAAGGATAAAGGGGGACAAGCCGCGTTTTTACAGAACGTTTTTTTAACACTAATCAAATGTTACGTGAATAATTCGGTTCAGTTCTAATTTATTTTCTTTTGCTGTAAATACATACTATATACAACTGTTTTCATTTCTGTAGATATAAGACGGTTTATTTTAACATACCTATATAATGAAATGGTGAAATGAATAAAATTTTTCAAAATTTTAAGAATTGATTTTTTTGTTTAAAGTGATAGACTTATAGAATTTTTTGTACCAGTTTGAACTGTCTAATGTTCTACAGGGTGTCATTGAAATGGTGTAAAAAAATCAGTGGTTGATAGTACTCCTAAAAATAGTAAAAAAAGTTCCTATATGTATAGAGCGGAAAATGCATATTAAGAGAGTTAGGGTCACTGAAAGGGTGAATTTAAAAAACGGTTGTTTTGAAATTGTAGGCTTAAAAAACCAAGATAAAATTTCGAAAAAAAATCCTCTGCCATAAATTTTGACCTTAAATCAAATGGTGATACTGAAAAATTATTTGGAAAAGCGGAAAGGGTAGTTTTTGCAAGGGTATGGGGTTGTTTCATGAATAACTTTTTTGAGGTTGTTTTTTTTGCACCGTGGGTTCACTTTTTGAAAACTACATACTTCTTCCGACAAAAAGGTACTCTTGTTGCACATCACCCAGAGCGATGGTTTTCGAGAAAATTATAGGCAAAGAATTTGCTCTGATGGGTTGCTAACCGATTAATCAACATAAACTTATGAAAGTTATGGCGGTTCAAAAGTAACCAAGTAGTTATTAAATAATTAATTGGAAAATCAAAAATTTCATGGATTTTAGAACATATCTTATTGCTTTATAAACGAATAAACCAATTGCAAAATTCCAGAGCAATCTCTTTGCCTTCAATTTTCTCGAAAAACCATCGCTCTGGGCGATGTGCAACAAAATTACCTTTTTGTAGGAAAAAAGTATGTAGTTTTCAAAGAATGAACCCACATTTTAAAAAAATAACCTCAAGTTATTCACGAAACAACCCTCTACCCTTCCAAAAGTATCCTTTCCGCTTTTTCAAATAATTTCATTATCACCATTTGATTTAAGGTCAAAATTTATGGCAGAGGATTTTTTTTTCGAAATTTTATCTCGTTTTTAAGCCTACAATTTCAAAATAACCGTTTTTTAAATTCACCCTTTCAGTGCCCCTAACTCCCTTAATATGCATTTTCCGCCTTATACTTATAGCACAGAATATCTAGCTACGCAACAGAAAAATACTCGAAATGAAAGAGCTAAAATTGCACAAATAAAATACTAGATGGCGCGACAATATCATAATCAGAATATAATTGGAAATTTTCAACTTTCGGTTTTTGGATCGACGTAGATCGACGGCACGTCGACGGCCTTGACGCTCGGCTAAAATGCACGGTTGCCAGATTCAAACAGACTTTAATTGGCATCCCATTCTTTTTCTGGTGTATAATAATTCCTTTCTATTCTTCGTTTCTTGTCAGATACATATATTAATTATTGATTTGGCTTTTAAAATAGTTTTAATTTTAAGTATATTATTAGAAAACATATGCTCTCAAAATACATTTTAATATACACTACTTTATTATGTTAACTAAGAAAATAACTTTAACTACCTTTAAAATTAATAATATACAGGGCGATTGATAGAGATATTTATTAATGCTGAAACGTTAGTAATAAATATACGTTTAATAATAAAATGATGTATTAAAATGCAGTACAAAAAATGTTAATTGACTAGAATATAATAATAATTTTTTCTGTTTTACGTTATTTATAACAGACCTAGGTAGATTTTTAAAAGTGACACAGGTGCAATTAATAATATATTAGTTCGGCATAAAAGTTGCTGTCATGACATCGTACAATAAATTAAAATTCATAAAATAAATTAAAATTATTAATTAAACAAATCTTTATAAAAGAAACACAAGTATATCAAATTTGGGCCCAATTGAACGCCAGAAAATGGTATCGTAATATGTTACTACATTATGGTACCCTTGATATGCTTCATGGTACCATAATATTGGAATGTCATAAAGAAATACGCAAGTATAATCAAATATGAGCGCAATCGAACGTCAGGAAGTAGTATCGTAATATGGTACTATATTAGGTACTGCTTTATATATGCATCATAGTAGATGCATCATAGTACCATCATATTACAATGTCACCGAAGATACTTACTATACCAAGTTAAGCCCAATCGAACGCCAGGAAATGGTATCGTATATAATAATAATAATAATAATAATAATATTTATTTATTTCCAAATTATGTTACAAAAAAAAACATAAAGAGAAATATCGTCAAACATCAAAATAAATATTCCAAAGCATATTACACATATTTTACAAAAATTAGATAAGTCTACTTACATAAACGGGAGAATATATAGAAAAAAAATAAAACCTAAAATTTACAATATTGGATACTAATTCAACAATATTTTGTAATCCTAATTAACCATTGAAATTAAAAAATTCTGGCAAGCTAAAAGGCTCTATATTTAATAAATAATTTTTTAACTTAAATTTAAATTAAACAACTTTCCACAGAGTCTAAGTGTTAAGGGCAGTTCATTATAAAACTTTAAACACATATACAAAGGGCTTTTTCCGTAATCGCAAGTTTATGAGCGGGATAGTTTAGTAAATTCTTTCTAGTATTGTACTGATGTATTATGTTACTCTCAAAACATTCTCTATTCATGTAAAAATATACTAAACATTCATAAATATATAATGCATATACTGTCATAATTTTTCACTCTTAAAAGATCCCTCTACACGATTCGTTGAAATTCATTTTTCTTACAGTGCGTATTACCCTTTTTTGTGTTACAAACAGTCGTTGTATTTTGCTGTTGCTGCCCCAAAATATTATCCCATAGCTCATGACGGACTGAAAATTGGAATAATACAGTGTTTTTAGTGTTCTCTCATCCATATATTTGCTTATTACCCTAATTGCATAGCAAACTGAACCCAGCTTTTTCAAAAGATATTCTATATGATTACTCAAATCTAAATGCTCATCAATTATTATTCCTAAAAATTTCGTGTGGTCAGATATTAATATATTTTAGTCGAATCATATATAAGTGGTCTATTTGTTCGTGACAATTTTGTTCGAAAAATGATGACATTTGTTTTATCGGAATTCAGAATTAACTTATTTTCATTGAACCATCTAGTTACATTATCTAATAAAATTTTGCTCTCGTCAATTAATTCGGGTAGGTGTTTTTTTCCAATTAACAGATTGGTATCATCAGCATAATTAATTATGTTTTGGTTTTGTCATAGCATCATCAGCATAATTAATTAAGTCTTTTACAATTAGGACAATGTAAATTGGTTAATTCCGAGCAATCCTTCGGGTGATGACTTCCTCCACATTTGTGACAACATTCTGGTGATTTCCAGTACTTTGAAACATGCCCAAAATTGCAACATTTAAAACATATTGCTACATTAAAATATTCCGTGACATATGCTTTCATCAAATCAAAACTTAAATTATTCCCTTTCATGATCCATTTAAAAAGCGTCGGTGGTACTTGAAGAACCCAGTTTTCTTTATGGATGTCTCTGCATGGTTTTTAGTAATATATTTTATCTGTGTCTTTATGTCATTTCCAAATTGGCATCTTGATGTCAGAGTTTTTTGTTCAATTAATTCATTAATGGGAGTGGTCCAAATTATAACCTTTATCTATGCCAGTAACCATTATCATTGGAAACGTATTTTCTTTCCATGAGTTGGAAATTACTTTGTTCATTACTGGGACTATCTTTTAATTTTCGTTGCACAGTCAACATTATGAAATTACTTGACTACTCCACCACTCTCCAATTTGTTTTCATTTAGAGTTTGCCTTTAATTTTTGTTTAATTTCTTGCACTACTGATTTAGAATTTTTTCTTTTTCAATTTTAATTAACAGTTCCTTATTTTCTTCTTTAGTAGGTGTTTTCCATTTAGGAATCATTTGTGTCTCTTCACTGTTGCTTGTATTATTATTCGCTTTGATTATTTCGCTATATGTCCTCTGCTGGGTCTTACTTTACTTTGTTGCTAATGGTTTGATTACTTTCAATGGTTCCTTTCAATTTCAACGGTTTGTTTTCAAACTTTTCCATTTTCTTTCTCAAGTTGCCCCACATTATATGATAACATGGTAACTAATCTATGTACATTAAACAGCGCATTTCTCGGATTTGACATATTTGTTTCATTTTCATAAATACAAACGCTCACTTCTAAATAGTTGTGTATCACTCCCAAATAATATAGTAGTCCTTCTAACGCATTTCTTGTATTTATTTTAGAATTTTGTTCAGTTTCTGTAGAGTCGTTATATTTGTTTGTATTTTTGGCAAATTGTTTTTCGGAAATTTTTTCCTTATCTTGTTCTGTTCCAAATTACCTGGGCTGGAATCAGACCTAGTTCTTTTCCTACTCTGTTGCTCAGTATCCTGTGATATATCAACACTCGAAATGGAACATGTGGGTGATCTCAATATAGAATGCCGTGGTTTAAAAATATTATTGGTCCCCTCATTTTCTTTTGTTTCCAGAAACACTTCGGTGTCTTTTTCAGTAATCCCCTGTATATCGACATCACTTAATTTCTTTTGTGCTCGAGTTTTAACGCTATCAGCCTTGCCTTTTTTTGTAAGATCTTGAACGTTTTTCCTATCACTGTTAATCGATGTTGTTCTCTGTTTTTGCAATGGAATATTAGGTTTATCGGATTCATGCGAACTGTTTTTACCGCTGCTACTTGCACTCATCTTATTGATAATTTCTATCAAAATTTAACGCAAACTATTACAAAATTACTAGGTAAATTAAATAGAAATCACGAGAGCTTCACTAAACACGTCCGCACAGTCTGGTATCTATAAATAGAACTATGGTACTATTATGGTACCTCTTGATATGCCTCATATGGTACCATAATATTGCAATGTCATCAAAAATATGCAAGTATATATCAACTATGAGCCCAAATGAACGTCAGGAATTGGTATCGCCAATATGAAAGGGTGCCTAGGAGATTTTTAATTTACTTATGCTCCATGGTGATATCATATTACGATGTTACCAATGCGTAGTATACAAGGTTTAAGCTCCATCAGACTTGCCAGAATGGTA